GGGTTTAGGGTTTGGGGTAGGAGAAGTGTAGCGTCGACCAAGCTCGCGCTATGGTCATAGCCTCTGCAAAGAATGTAAGTAGGCCTCAGGATATAGGCTTTAGGGTATGGGGTTTAAGGCTTAGGGTTCTCAAAAACCCTAAACCCTAAACGCTCAGGTATGGGGTTTAGGGCTTAGGGTTCTTAATCCAGCGCACTGTAGAGCCCCAACTGCTTGGTGGACACAACATGCTCCCTTCACTTCCTCCCTTATTCCTGTTTTAACATGCTCAGGTAACCCTAGGGTTTAGGGTTTAGGGTTTAAACCAGAAAACCTACACCCTAAATCCCACCTAAACCCTAAAACCTCAACCCTCCATCACCTGAACCACCAACAGCCCTCACAACCTGGATCCTAGGCCCTGGTTGGGTTTAGGGGCAAGCCTTTGTAATCCCCAAAAAATCTAAAACCCTAACTCCTAAACCTGCAACTCGAACTTGGAGGATCTTTTGGGTTTGGCAAGTCTACCTACAATCCTCAATGACCCCTATTCCAAGCCCCATAGACCCAGTTACGAAGTAGACTTACTCAGTCAAGAGATCCGCCAAGAACCCTGAACCCCAAACCCTAAACCCTAAACCCTAAATCCCAAATCCTAATCCCTAAATCTAACATCCTAAACCTTAAATCCTAAACCCTAAACCTTACACCTTAAACCTCAAACCTTCAACCCTAAACCCTAAAGCCTAAATCCTAAACCCTAAACCCTAAATCCTAAATCATAAACCCTAAGCCCTACACTCAACCATTCGAGGAACTACTACGGACTGCAGGGTGTTACCCACCAGCATCTCAGCGACCATCTCTCCGAGGCCGTGAGCTTAGACGATTTAGGGTTTACCAGATCATATAGGGGTATATAGGGGTTATATAGGGATAATGGAAAAGAAAATGGAAACTACTATTTAGGGTTTAGGGTTTAGGGGTTTAGGGTTTAGGGTTTAGGGTCCCCCTGAGTAGATAGAATATGGGGTGTATGGGACTATTTAGGGTTATATTGGGGTTACAGTAGGGTTATATTGGGGTTATATTAGGGTTGTATTGGGATAATGGAAAAGACAATGGAAACTACTATTTAGGGTTTAGAGTTTAAAATATAGTCCCTCTTGAGTAGATAGAATATGAGGTATATGGGGATCTTATTATTATCATATACCCAAAGCCATATTCTATCAGGGGGCCTCTAGCTTTTTTGGTTTAGGTTTCAGGGTTTAGGCTTCGAGTTTTAAGGTTTAGGGCTAAAGATTTAGGGCTTAAGGTTTAGGGTCTAGGTTTCAGGGTTCAGGGACCTAAACCCAAAACCCTAGTTTTAGGGCTCAGTGTTGAAGATTTGGGGCGTCGATCCTCAGGGGCTCCAGTAGGACCGACCCTCTGAGACTTTATGAGACTCTCTGAGAACTCACGTGGGTGTTTCCCAAAATTAGGGGTACCTTTTTGGGGCTCCCTATAATAAGGACTATAGTATATTGGGGTCTATTTTGGGGTACCCCTCATTTTGGGAAATTACCATGTGTCATTCGATTCTAGGATTTTACCCTAAGGCTCCGAACGAGTTTTGGGGTTTGGCTCAAGGGTTTGAGGTTCGGGGTTTGGGGTTGAAGCTTCAGAGTTTTGGGTGTAGGATTTTGGAGTCTATGGTTTTGGTTGAAGGTTTGGGGACTAGGCTGAGGGTATGGGCATGAGGGTTGAGGGTTTGGTTCCGGGTGGGGGTTGGGTTCAGGTACATTGGACCCCTAAATCCCGGGTCCGCCCCTTAAACCCTAAACCTTGAAACGCGAACCCGAAACCTTACACCGGAGGCTCTTAACCTCATAAACCCTTATCTATCTTTCTTTTTATCCCTTCACATTTCTAACGTGTCCTTGTTACCCTTTCAAAGGCAGGGTACCTAAGCCCCAAACCCTAAACCCTATAGCTAAACCCCCTAAACCCTAAACCCTAAGCCTCCGTCCATGGCAGGTCGTGGAGAACACCGTGGAGGGCCTGGAGCGTTTCGGCTGCTGCAGTATCGAGGTCCTCTCTCCAGGGTTTGGGGCTTTAGGGTTTAAGGTTTGAGGGTTTACCTAGACCCCCCAAGTACCCTGAAATAGGGTCTATGCAGCTTCTATTTGGGGATACTTAGGGTCTATAGAGGGCACTTGGGGGGTCTAGGTAGGGTTTAGGGTTTTGAGGTTACGGTTTTGGGACAAGGGGGGGTCTTGTCAGGGATTGTTATAAGGGGAGAAGTAAAGGAAGTATAGGGTTTAGGGGCTCATGATTTAGGAGCTTTCGGTTACGGATTTGGGGTTTAGGTGTTTCTTGTTGGGGCCGAGGGTTTAAGAAGGTGTTTCGGGGTTTAGGGTGATGGAGAGATTCAAACGGAAAAGCAAATGGGAAATGACATGCAAACTGAGGTTTACAGCGGCTTTCAGCGGGTTTAAACCCTTAAACCCTAAACCTGCAGGTTTAGAGCATTGGCAGCGGGACCTTTGTCTGCTTATTCTTCTCATCATCCCACACCCTAAACCCTAAACCGTAAACCCTGACCCTAAAGTGCTGGCACTCCTATGTTGTCATGTTGTTCCTGCTAGTCTTCTGAGTGGTTTCTACTTTAGGGCTTAGGGCTTGTGGTTGCGTTGTCTATGCAACATTTTCATGGCTTTATACTGGGTGGTGCATGGAAGGTTCTCGAAGTAAGACCTAATCCTCCGACACCAACAACCCCTCTGCAAGCCAAACTCCATGGACCCTAATCCCACCCTAATCCCAAATCCTAAGCCCTAATCCCTGAACTCTAAACACCGATCCCTAAACCCGAATCCCGAGACCCGTAACCTTAAACCCGAGTCCCTAAACCTTGATCCCTAAACCCGAATCCTTGAAGTAGGTAGAATATGGGGTATGTGGGGATCTTATGATAATATACCCAAAGCCATATTCTATCTACTTAAGGGGGACTATATCCTTGAGCTAAGGCTTGAAAGTTTGGCGTTTAGGGTTGCTCTTCTGGATGTGCGGCCAC